AAGGATTCTTCTTCAGCCAGCCAGCTGGAAGCGACACTACCAGTGTCAGGGCAAAGAACATTGATACCTCCTGCATGTTCCTAGTATTCAACACCATAGTAACTCAGATTCCCACAATAGCTTTCTGCAGATGCTACAGGACATTCTCCTCCTGCCACACAGTCTCTTACCCCACTCAGATACCACTGTATTTTGTTGCACTGCAATTATTTCACAGCTGCATAGCAGGAAGTTTCCCTTCCACATCTCATACAGTCCTTCCTAATGTGTAACCAGAGCCACCACACACCCCCTTCATGCCTCACACCCATCTCTTCATTCCCCCCTTCCCACTCAGGGACACCTGATGCAGGGATGGTGATGTGGTGATGGCAGAAGCTCTTCTACAAGGAATCTGTTCTCCATTTGATGAAAAGGGTGCCCCACACAGATTATCTGAAGCCACTTGAATATCTATATTCTGTCTCCTAAACTGAAAACCCCTTAGATGCTTATTTTTAAGATTTGGGGGGAGGGGGGGGGGCGATGACATGGACACAAATTAAGAATATAGTGTAATACAAGAGATCACAATCCCCTTCTTTCAGTAAATATCCATATAGTAGATTTACCATTTCTGACAGAAAATGGTGGTTTCTCCCATGCCATCAGCCTTGCCTTAAATGTCAAAAGACAATAAATACATTCAAAAAACAAAACTATTTTTTCTAATTTCCTTTTAATGAGTAATTGAAGCCTCAAAAAGGTAAGTCCAGCAAGTAACTTACTTTCAATTCACTGTTGTATGTAATGAAAGGCTTATCTAGAACACACTTGAGCCTGATAACAGCTAAATGCATGAAACACTGACACTGCAATAGATAGAAACAACACAGACAACAACTGTTGTGTTTCTGACCATATATAGTCAGTAAGCAATGGCAAAAAATACCAAACATTTTAGCTATGCCTGTACAACTGTTTGAAAACTAAGAGCAATCACACCTTGACGTAAATGCAAAAAATCATTATCTTAATGATAAGACTTTAATGCAAATTCCCAAGAGAACATTTCCTCACATAAACAACATCACTATTTCATCTTAAAATTGATTAAATATCAGAATCAAGGCATTACTTACAGTCTGCTTAGTGTCAGAAGCATTTATGGTTGAACAATGGTTCTAATTCCTTTGCATGGGGGTCAGTTACTTTACCACTGATTCAGAGCACATTATGAGTCAGAAGGCAATTTTTTTAAATGTTGTATACATGAAACCTGGCAGTGAGAATTTCTCAAAATACCTGGGATTATTACACTATTTTAGAGTAAATATGTGAACATGAGCACCCTTTAACAAAGCTTTACCAAACCAGATCAATAGGAAAACCTGACAGTTCAATTCCTAGGCTAGTGGATTTCTGGGTGATGCACATAGTCTACAACCCACAGGCCTGCCTGGTGACTCATTTTGTAGAGTTCCAGAAGATGAAGCAACACGTGCATAGAGATAAGACTTAAAAAGTACTTTCTCAAGAGAAACCTCAAAGAAAATGTGGAGGGCCTCTGTATTAAAACAATCCGCTCCAGAAGACTATAAAACTTCTGTAAAACTTCAGTCAAAGGAACTAGTAACTAAAGTTATCCAGGGAACATACCTTCCATCCATTATAGCAACACCTTCTTCCAGATGTCACTAGAAGAACCCAATTTCAGAGACCAAAATCTTGTCTCCTGACAGCGTGAAATGCTGGGGTCTGAACCCCGAGCCCCCAAATTAAGGTTGCCATATGGGTGATTCCCACAGCCCTTCATACAGAGGGGTGAGTTTGCCTTATAGCTTCCCCCCAGGGTGCGGCCGGCCCTGCAGGGAGAGCCAGAAGGGAAATGAGCCCCAGGGGTCCCGCAGGGAGCTGACAAAGGTCAGGGCTCTGCTGGGGGATAAAAGCTGGGACCACTTGCAGGGAGTCAGGAGTGTCTGCCAGTGAAGTGGACGCACTCCCCAGAGCTTCCTGGTTCAGGGCAGACCTCCTGACTCTCCCTGGAGCTGGGCCCTGGTCTGTTTAGACCTTTGTGAACGCGGGCCAATCAGGTGAAAGTTGCCATGTGGGCACCTTTCCCTTATGTGTTCAGCTTGCTGGTCTGGCTGTTTCCCATGCCAACTGTGGGAAACCTCAGTTCTCTGTTTATACCATCTGTTGTGGGCCAAGTCACATCTTTTGTGGGATGGTTGGGGGTGGTGTCAATCATGTATGAGCTTGTTGACCTGTTACCCCCAGTGATCATTCATGGAATGTCCTCCTTGTCTACAATACAGTCTGTGTATTGGTTCATCTTCCTGCTGGTGGTGGTATCATTTTTGTTGGGCCTGGTCATTGGCAGAACACAGCGTTAGTCAAGACTTAACTGTAGACAGCAAAGCCACAGTCATGTCCACATTTCTGAAGACATCAGATGAACCACTAATGTATCAGATTAAACTAAATAAGATAAATATGGTAAATCTTCTATTGATCTTATCTTCACTGTTCATTTTTATTGTAGACTAACTTGCCGCTTTATCCCCCAAAACATTATTATGAACAGCAGTTTGAAAAAAGTCTAGCACTCCTCCAAAAGGAACCCTTTAAAGAGCTCAAAAAGTAATAAAGCAGCATTTTCACACTGCTAACCATTTAATTCTTACATTACAGTCTTCCAATCAAAAAGCTCAGCGAGTGACACAAGCAAAAAAGCAAGAAGAGGTGAGAGGGTATTTATTCCTTCCAGATGTTGGTGTGTAACTCTGGGTCTGATAGTTTGGTTCACATCTGAGAGGAAATATCTAGAATATGGTTTCAAAATTCCACTACATAGTAAATGCAAGATGTAGCCACATGCAAAAATTCATCATTTATTTAGGAGTATATTAATAAAAATGCCTGCCAGTCACCACAGAAAAATATGCCTAGAGAAAATTAAATATTATATGCTATGAGATGCATGGCAGGTGACTGCATGCAAGCACAGCTTACAAGCCACATCCTCTCAAAGAGCTTGAAGTAAACAACATGAGACAAATATTTAACAGTGGCAGAATGTGACTGGAATAACAGACAATAAAGTTACATATGATGTGCTATACTACAAACTAAAAATAGGGCTCAGCTTCAAAGGACTAAAAATACCTGCAAAATTTAACAAACCACTACTTATTTTACATTTGTTCACTAACTTCTTAAAAGTATCTTTTGCCGTTTGGCAAACCCTTGGAGGAATACTGGCTAGGAACACTCAATTTGTCATTGCATAATGACAGGTGATAACGTACTTAACTTTCTTTTAAAATGTATGAGGTGTATATCATGTACTTTATGTATTACTTATTTTCGTAGTTACCTCTGGTCTTGGCTGAGAATCAGTCAATAAATGGAACATGTGAAATATTTTTTATATTATCTATGTATAAAAATCAATACAAAACTATGTTTTTTATTCTTGTCTTGTGTTACCAGCCTGAACGGATGGGATAACATTTTAAGAGTACTCTAAAATGATTTTTTTTTTTAAAGTCTCAGCTGTTCAGCACGACAGATAACAATATTTGCTGGTGATAATGCTTTCCATCACAAAGGACCTTAAGGTATCTCAGATACCATATATGCATACATCAGACTCTAAAATGCAGCCCTCTCTGGCTCCAGAGCAAGCCAATAGCTAGTGATCACTACCCTGAACAACAGCAGAGACTTGGAAACCACCCCAGCAGCAGGTGGAGAAAGACCAAAAAAAAAACCTAAAATCCTGGTTAAGTTGCAGCTTTAGTAAGAGCAGGGTGATACAAAGACCTGATTTAAATGGCTAACAGTCCTTCAGGCACAAGCTGTCACATGGCAAAAAAACATAGACCCCACTGTGCAGTAGTGAAAGAGAAACTAACTGAAGCCCACCTTTGCCCCTTGATAAAACCCAGCCTGGTTGGCAGCTCATTTGATACCATGGTCTGACAACAGCTCTATGACACAGACCATTGTTCTTTGCTTGTCTGCTCCCACTTGTTTAGGAAGGCTTTCAATCTGATTTCAGGCAATCCTTGGGAACCATTTGTTTACAAAATTCACAGAGCACTGATGAAAGGCCATAATTCGCAAATGACCAGGCACAAAAAAAATTACTCTTCTGTCCTTTTTCCTTTGAAACCTTCTCCCAAATCAATATTCGAGGGTGATTCCTACATAAAAACATTTTGGATGCCATCTGGCTTATTATTATATTATTGAGCCTGGCTTTCATATTCCCCCAACAGGCCCTGACAATCCATGGAGAGAGTAAAAAAAAAAATTTAAAAATTTTTTAAAAAATCAGCAAAACAACAAAGGGTCTGAGTCAAAGTGGCCAATACAGTGTTCTCAGCAGAACAAAAAACCTGTCTTATCCTGGGAGTCTGGCTGGAAATGTGGATATAGGTCATGAGGAAATGGACCATGGCAAAACTCACCAAAGATGAGCTGCTCTGTCAGAAGGGCATGACTCTTGCAGTAGGTTAAAGAATCCATCTTGCTACTGAATTCTCCAGCTGGGACTATTACATCTTCCCAAATTCAGTCCTTACTACTGAAGAAAAGAGGGAAGACTTCTGGTTTTAAATTTTTAACTAAAAGGCCTTACTCCCAGATTCAGGTAAATGGTACTTTTCAAGAAGAGCACTGAAGTATGCATTCACTTTTACTTGTGCTTAACAGCCACTAAAATTAACAAGGGGAATCTTATCTTCCACTGGGAAGAAAAATCAAACAAGCAAACAAAACCACAACACCCATAGAATTTCCACTGCTGTATGTGTTTATCCACAGTGGGGCCCAGCTTGCACACTTTGCCTGCTTATAAGTGGTATCTGAGAACATACAATTAGACAACTCAAAGTTGAGACATTTGCACATCAAAACATATTTCTTATGGATATCCCAGCTTTATTTTGATACCAGTGTTACACTGTCAAACTAATTCCTTGTGGTGCCTAAATTATTTGTCTGATACTTACTCTCTTTCTGGACATTGGCAAGTGCTGCATGAAGTTCCTCTTTAAAGACAATTGCTTCCTTAGCAATTTTTTCCCCCTTGTCCAACAGATTCCAAGTGGCTTCTTCCACAGAAGCTAGCAAGACACGAGCTCTTTTGGAGCGGCCCTTTTTCTTATTAGAAGGATTCTGTGGACAGTTCACTAGTGTTGTAACCTATATTTAAAAGAAAAAAAAATACAATAGTAGTCTAAGTTCTAAAATAAGTGAATTTAGACTGTTCTGAAAATTAACAAAAAAAATCAAATTAGTATAGTTAGGAATAAGCAATGAGACTCCCACTGCTTTGGAGCATGGCAGGTAAACTTAGCATACACACCAGGAGTGGGCAAAACCATTGAAACAAATTTGACAGATAATTTTACTTAATGTGCTTCATCTTTGTATTCTTCTTTCTGTATGATCAAAGAAAAGTCAATAGAAATCTGTCATATTAACCCTGATGCAAATTCCTGACACTGCTTACTTTAATATTTCCTCATGACAAAAAAGAAATTACTAATGCTATCTAAGAAGGCTTTAACCAAGGCAGGAAATAAAATCAGTGCTCAATCTTGCCATACTTCCAGCTTAAATCTCCCAAGTTATCTCAGAAGGAAACACACAAAATTAGTATAGACACAGGGTCTCTTCTCACAAAGCAGGATCGCAGTGGTCAGAACGCAGCACCTCAGAATCCTCTGGGGCCTCTCAACATTAAAACTGGATGTCATTTTAGCCAGGAATGTAAGTTCATTGCAGCTTTGTCCAAATCTATGTTTTAAAAATGCACTTCAACATTCACAAAGAACTTATTTTCTATATAACATCCCACTCCACATTCCTGATCATGTTAAGTACAGCCTCCACACTCCAACTGCATGTTTCTAACAAGCTATTCTCTAAGGCATTGCTTGAGCTGTCACACTAAGGAAAGACTCAAAGATTTTTAAAAGAAAAATGTAAAACAGATATTTTAAAAACATAATTAAAATAAAGCAGGTTTTAAGTAAGTTCACTGATGCTTTTTTAATGCTCCTTCAATTCTATTCTCTGCCAGAACATGGATAATATAACATTAAGTACAGACGTAGTCTGGGAGCTCAAGGTGCACATTTTATACATATGTAATTGCTTGATTTTATTAAATGGCATTCCAATAATCAATAATATTCTCTAAGCATAGAAGAAGCTGTGCAGAGATTTCTCAGTCCAGCAGGGAAGCTTGGCTAATGGCTGCAGTATAGCTTGTGGTCTGAGCTGGTCCATGGCAAAGGGCTCCATGCCCATGGGAGGAGCAGTGTGCTTACCTGTGCCCCAGCTCACTTCTCCATCTTCATCCTGAACCACACGCTTCAGTGCTCTTCATGAATCAGTACTTTTAACTTTTAATGACAAAAATTCTCTGGGAAGGATATTATGTTTCTATAAACACATATTTGAAAGACAAAAGCCCTGACCCCTACATCATTCACATGGAATTTCAGAGGAAAAAGGACCAGCCATTTGACAAGGACTGCATTGGGAGGTCACAAGGGAGAGAGAACCATAAATAACTGGCTCAGACTGTTAAAGAGGGCTTGGGTATTTTACTGGTTGTGGCTCAAAGTAGTAAATTAAATTATTTATCACACATAAATCATCCAGCTAGTAGAGAATGCACTGGGAATAAGAATCTTAATATATTTTTTTACAAACATTCTATTGTTAGTTCTAGAATATTTCATGCAATTTCAATTATGGTATTTTTAAGAGTGAGTTAGAGATTATAGCTTGACACTTTCAATAAGAAAGACATAAAACATTGTAAAAAATTAGAAGCTGCTCCAAAAACTTACCAAGTAAAAGACTTTAAGTGTCTTAACTATTTAATCCAAAAAAATAATATATTTTCATCTCTCAGATTTTTACTTTATTTTTTAATGTAAAATATCATCCTACGTACTGTTAATTCAAATGAGTTGGAAGAAGAGGAAAGAAAATAAAACAAATGGAAAAATATGAAGAATAATCATTCCTGCAGGTGAAAACGTTTGACTGTAATACTCTTCACCTACAGCATCACTGCCAGAAATTATGAGAGGCAGCTTCTGATCTCCAATTCAAGTCAAAATTTGACAGGCAGTTCTTGGATCATGGGGATTAATGAATACAGAAAAACTACTCTGAATTCCCTAACACTGCATCTCAACGAGGAATGCAGAAACTTTATGCAGACCCTAAACTAAGAGTTGAACTACACAGTAGCTAATATAGTGTGCCCTTTATGATCCATTGTCAGCACAGCTTGTACTGTAGTAGCAGAATACACAGTCAGAATGACAGTATTGGAGGAAAGAACACACACACCCATTGGTCCAGCTCATGCCTACCTGCATTTCCCAGTTACTAACACCTTCTTACTGCCATATACAGCAGGTCTCCTACATTCAGCTGAAGTCACTGTCAAGGGGTTATGTTGTATCTCTGGTAGGAGCAATGAAGTTAGAGGCACAAATGGGTTTTTAGGGGAGATTTTCAACCCTATATACCATCACCATTGCAAAGCTGAATCACGTTGTTGTTGCCCATTAATGTCATTATTTATTAGGCTGAAGGGATGGGATTTCTTGCCATGGTTATCCCAAATACTGAATTCCTAAGGAACTGTGCAGCAGCTCTTCCAATGCTATATTCAGTTCCTGCCAGCCCTTACAGACCATCTTTTAATACTGCAGTAGTTAAGGAAAGTTCACCTTTGATATTAATATAAAAATATTGCAAAGCATTAATCATAAAACATTTTCTTCTCTAAAATTTTGTTCAGTGTAACTGCAATCCCTAGATGTTTGAAAAAACAAGACATGAACTCAGTGATCTAATGACAACAGCAGAACACCTCTCTCACTGTTTCAAATCCAAGGTACTGCCTATAGGAATAAACACTGGTTAATCATTTCCAGTGTGCATAAAACAAACTCACCATACACAGAATTCAAACAGTTTGTTTTCTGCGTGAGCAAACTTTGGTGGGTCTGGATTACAGGTGAGAATAAATGCCTTTCAACTTGCCTGTTTTTCCATCAGTGATGCACAGGACTCTAAAATACATGGATGTTTCTACATATTCTGTAAAACTTATTTATCTATTGCAGCCATAAACTTTCCTTAGCTTGTATGTATGCATAAAATAAATTTCCTTTAAAATAGAACATAAATAAAAATAGGAAAAAAATTAAAAGTATTTCCTTTTTGGCAAGGAAAAGCACTTACAAATAATTGCTTATGTGCACATTCTCACAGACAACACATTAACCATGCCTGTGTGTCTACAAAGAGAGAGAGCGCTTTAGATACAATATCCAAATAAGTGGCAAATTTACAACTTACAAGACTTGCAATGACCACAAAGGCAGTTATGAAGTGTTTCCTGCATGAATTAACAAAGCTGTATGAATCTCACGGAGCTATATCTTTCAAAACTTTTATTTTTACATAAATTCAAATGGAAAAAAGTCTTGTAATGGTTTGCTATGGAAGAAATTTATACCTAGCCATAACTGTAGTCATTACATAGTAGAGCAAAGAGACTAAACAGAGTTCAGTCTGAGGATGAAATAAAACAAGAGGATGTTTTCCATTACATTAGTTGTTATATTTTGTGAGTAAATGTAGCTCAAGCATGACAAATATTAGACATCAGCTATGTGAATGAAAACGCTTTACCATCTACTGATAGCTTCACACTAATTGCTCTGTGACAGAGTGCATCTCTGATAAAAACTCAGAATTAAGGAAAGATTGTTTGTCGAGCATGTAACAAACATACATCAAGGCAGCTGCCAGCTGAACAATGTCAATTTTGATACATATCTTTTTTAGTGTGTCAGATGCACTGATAGAGAACTGTACCTAAAAGCTGTACTTTCAAAGCTAATGTCTCCAGAGCACCTTGGTGGGAGGAGGGGGGGAAATAGCCACAGAGCAAATCCCTTCTGGGGAGGGTGCAGTAGGGACAGGATTAAAGAACTTTTTTTGCAACATAGACAAAAGGGAGTGCAGCTAGCGGTACATGCCCCTGAGAGTGGAGTTAATGAGGCTGGACACAGAGTTACACTAATGCAGCTCTGCCACTTCCAACACAGGAGTTTCTACCTGTGCAGAGTCCTGCACAGCACTATTTGAATTTAGCACCCTGCATCAGGCCACTGTTTGGGATGCAAAGCTGGAAATACAGTGAGACTACTGCCCCTGCAGTCCCCCAAACATTGTCGTTTATGGGCATTGTTTTATTCCAAGGATGGAAAAGTTGCCAAGTCAGAGAGGGTTTTATACAAAACCATGTGTCACACTGCTTTTATAGTTTCAAAGTGATCACCCCTGCCAAACGAAGGGAAGAGAGAGAATCTAGCAAGTTATTTGCAGTTACTTCCACATAGGCTGGTTTTGCCTTCATTTTCTCCCATATTGATGTTGTTAACCTAATGATTGCTCTAACAGCAGAACTGGCTAGGACAGGCTTCACAGCTCAAACCCTTCCACTGCCTCTTTCTGACCAGAGCATTACAAGACTATTAAATAAATACATTAAAGCTTAAATCTCAAAATAAAGTTAGACTGTGTTCAAAGCAGCAGCTGCTAAGTGAATCAGGCCAGAGCATAATACTATTTAGTTTTATCTGTGGCTGGTCTGATTCTCTCTTATCATAGATCAGCCTTCATTTGTTGCCTTTCTAGCATCTCAATCATCCTGCACTGAGTATTAATTTTACTGCTTGTTTTGTCTTCTCAACATTTTTTGTCTCCTTCCCTCTCAAAATGCAAGCTCCCCTTCCACAGTTCTGTTATGCAATAAACAGAGCATTAAGGTTGAAAAGGGGATAAAGACAGCCAAAATCATATTCTCTTTGAACCAAAGCATTTCCAACAGATTACAGTGTTTTAAAGATGCTTGAGAAGAGCTTTTTAAAATCTTTTTTAAAAAAAGCTTTTTTTTAAAAGCTTTTTAAAAAAAATATAGTTTCTTTGTTTTGTTCTGGAACTTTATTTGTTTTGCACGTTTCTTTGATCCTGCAAAACTTGGGCCAAAATTTACATTTCTTCATCTTCTCGAAAAATACCCAGAGTGCTGCAGCTGCTTGAGCACAGTCTGACCTACTGGTATACAAGACAAGGTTTGAAAATGCAGTCTATCAAGACATCTATTCCTGC